GGGCTTGTCTCCGCTTTGTGACTCAGCGTATGACTGCCTAGGCATGTCTGGCTTTTCCTTAAGGAAGCATTTGGCTTTCAGCTAACTCCTACTTCACCGTGAACGCAGTAAATAAACAAAATGCCCTTTCACCTGGCCACAGGCATACCAGGATGCCTTGATAGAAGATAAATACCCAGGGCGATTACACAGAGGCCATGTGGATGGGACCGTTTGTCTGGGCCCTCCTTCCAAAGCCCTCCTGGGTCTTAAAACCAAACGATAGTTTAGCTGAACGAGTAAAAAAAATCTGCCTTGAGCATTATGCTCTTTAAGAACTATCTATATGGGATCAAATTGACAACAACTTGAAAGTTTCAATAGGAATCTTAGGGGGCAATGAGTTTATGTTAATGGGAGGAACAGCTCAGGGAAGGAGAGGGAGAATGGTTGTACAACTCCAAGAATGTAAATCCACGTCACTAAACTGTACACGTAGAAATGGTTGAATTGGGGTATGTTTTGCTGTGTATATTCTCAACGATAACAAAATAAATAAAACAATAATAATAATAACAAAGCCCTCCTTCGTTCTCATGAGGACCCTATAGGACAGAGCAGAACTGCCCCATAGGGTTTCCAAGGCTGTAATCTTTATGGAAGCAGACTGCCACATCCTCCTCCCGAGGAGCGGCTGGTGGGTTCAAACTGCCGACCTTTCAGTTAGCAGCCGAGCGCTTAACTACTGAGCCACCAGGGCTCCTCCTTTGAAAGAAAAGAAAAAAAGATAAATCCCAAGGACAATCACACAGCAGGCCACGTGGGCCTGACTCTGTCTGGGTTCATCTGTCAAAGCCCTCCTTTGTACTGTCCCTCAGAGCTCAAGCCTCCCTTGTCCCCAGTTTTATTCTTCCGGGCTGTCCTTTCAGTTTTTTTTCTCATTCTCTAGAATTCTTACTAATTTTTGGTACCTTTAGAAGAGGCTCGCTCTCCTACTTATCCAGGCTAGAAATGGGGTGTTAGGACACTGCTTTGCAGAGAAGGCCTCAGACCTTCCCCATTGTGGTGGATAAACCCTTAATAATATATCTATCTGTCATCTATCTATCTATCTGTCATCTATCTATCTATCTATCTATCATAGTATTAGGTGGTTAAGTTCTGTGAAGAACACTTAGCTCCTTGATACAGCTAGATCAACCCATCTACTTTTGTGGGTCAGTGGTTAAGAGCTCAGCTGCTAACCAAAAGCTCGGCATTTCGAATCTACCAGCCACTCCTTGAAAACCCTATGGGGCAGTTTTACTGCGTCCTCTGGGATTGGAATCGACTCAACAGCAACGGGTTTGGTTTTTGGTTTATTGGAACATCTGGGGAAAATTAGCAATAACTACTTTTGGTTAGCAATAGAAAGCTAACCAAATTTCTTTGTAAAAAATCAGTAAAACGGTTACTTAAACATTTTGCCTTTTAAGATGAAGCATTCATGGTTCTCCAAGTGTACCCTGTCTGACCACATAGGGTTGGTGGAAATCCCAAAGGAATCTGCTTGACAGAGCAGAACTGCCCCATAGGGTTTGCAAGGCTGTAATCTTTTTTTTTTTTTTCTTTTTGTACTTTAAATGAAGGTTTACAGAACAAACGAGCTTCTCATTAAACAGTACACATATTGTTTTATGACATTAGTTAACAGCCCCACGACATGTCAACACTTTCCCTTCTCGACCTTGGGTTCCCTGTTACTAGCTTTCCTGTCCCCTCCTGCCTTCTAGTCCTTGTCCCTGGACTGTTGTGCCCCATTAGCCTCGTTTTATGGGGCTGTCTAATCTCTGGCTGAAGGGTGAACCTCGGGAGTGACTTCATTACTGAGCTAAAAGGGTGTCCGGGGGCCATACTCTCAGAGTTCCTCCAGTCTCTGTGAGGCCAGTAAGTCTGGTCTTTTTTTGTGAATTAGAATTTTGTTCTACATTTTTCTCCAGCTCTGTCCGGGACCCTCTGTTGTGATCCCTGTCAAAGCAGTCAGTGGTGGTAGCCGGGCTAGTTGTACTGGACTCAGTCTGATGGAGGCCGTGGTAGTTGTGGTCCATTAGTTTGGACTAATTTGGACTAATCTTTCCCTTGTATCTTTTTTTATATTTATATATAGTACTTTAGATGAAGATTTACAGAATAGTTTATCATTAAATAGTCAGTACACATACTGTTTTATGACATTGGTTAACAACCCCACGACATGTCAACACTCTCCCTTCTGGACCTTGGAGGACCTTTTTTTTTTTTGGTGAAAATATACATAGCCAAAGTTACAGCATTTCAAAAGTTTCTACATGTACAATTCAGTGACATCGAT